CGCCGGAGGACCGGTTGATGACGCTGCTGTCGGAGGAAGTGCAGCAGACTGAGGGGCGTTCGGACCCTCGGTCTTGCCCTCCTGAGAAACAAGTCGAGTAATGCGAGGTGATGAGCAAGGTACCGATGATTCAAGAGAAGGATGGGCTTACGTACCTCCAGCTGCTCACGCTCGCGACGTCTACGAGGATTGAGACGCTGAAAAGCGTCGGACACGGCTCGATTCAGACGCTTGGACATACGGTGGCGAGATGGTGAATTGAAGAATGAAGAAATGTCACAACGGGCACCAGTACCGTGGCTTCCATTGCGACAGGGGCAGTTGTGGTGTAGTGATTTCTCCGTAGTTGCGGATTATCACCCGTCGACAAAGACGTGACACCGCCCAAGTTGTTCAAGCAACGAACCCTCGGTCAGGTGATGTACGGAGACGCCAAGGTGCAAGGGACTCGACGGCGTCACCTCCGAACATTCAACGAGCATTGGATACGGGCATATGTCACTGAATCCAGGCTGTCCTTATTATTAATAATGGACTGGCCGGATTCGCATTCAGCGGACCATCTACGGTACGAACCCTCCGTGGCGGTTGGGATGAGTTCGCAGAAGACTCAGCGACCCTTGGAAGGCACGTTCACCGTCTGGGACAGGGCGCGGACCGTTAAAGATGCTCATGCGACGGTGCAGACGACGCTTGGCATGCAAGAAGATCCATAACGGATCATTGTTCACTTGATATTTGTATACTTAATTAGGACTTCTTATTAGGAATAGACCCGAAAGGGTAAGCTTAAATACAGAACAGAATTTCCACTCAAGCACACAGAGCGACGTCCGGCTTCAAGGTAAGCGTCTGGTCAAGCTTGTTTGAGTGTGTTATGCTTGTCGGTGATCTCGAAGCTCTGTAGCGAGGGTTCATCCGGCAAGGCCAAGAGACTGTGTATTTTGGCCGATTACTATCGGGAGGTTTTACGTGACGGCTTATTGTTGCCTATTTGCACGACTGGGAGTGCTTTAATTGCCTCCCTTTTATTTCTTCCAGCCGAGTGTTGAACACTCGGTGATCTCGTAAAAGGCTTACCCGTGCCTGGTACCCTTCCGCTGTTGGGACCACGAGGATTCCAAACACCTGCTAGCTTTGCTCGTGCTAGTAGCGTGCTCTTATTTTTACTGGTTGGCCTATATAAGTAGTTTACAAGGTCCAGTTTGTCCCGGTGCAAGGGCAGAACTGGGGTCTTCAGGTCCGCCCGAACGATCGTTTACTATCCTAGTAGACGTATTGTTGTGGGAACGTCCTAACTACATTTGTAGCTAGAGTTCACGTGGGATTTCCAACACCACAACATGCCTAGTGAGAGCGTCTCCTCGTAACAAGAGGATTATGTCATAGATCTAGAGAACAAACGAGCAAAGAAAAGTAATCCTCATCAATATTTACGTCTATTCAACCTCAATATATGTGTTCATTAGTTGCTTCACGAAGCACTAAGAAAATTAAATGAGTCGTCTCGTAATTTCGTCGAGTCGTACCCGCAATGACCAAAAACATCTAGCAACCCCCTTGTATCGCGACGTGTGCATAATTTCATGGCAACAGCCAATACTTCGTCTGGATACAGCGGAAATAGGAGGTTTGCGTAACGCTGGATCCACTTTTTGAGTGATCTAAAACACAGTAATTAGAACACAAATCAAATTCCAAAACGCGTGAGGAAATCGTAAGTACACGGTTAATAGTCGACTACACCAAACATCAAAACCAAACTACAAAGCGAAAAAAACAGGGACGCACACATATGGACAAAACAAATCATTTTACATGTTTTGCAAATGCACTGTCACATATTTCAAGCAAATTGGTTTGATGCACTACCGATTCCAGCTCCTTGTATATATGAATCTTGGCGTTATCTAAGATAACGGAAGAGTTAGGAAATGGCCATGGGTTCAATACTGGAATGACGTGCTTCACAAAAGCACGATGAAAGGAACTTCTAGTAAATGTTCCGTCCGTCGTTTCCCATGAAACAAGATCTTTGGGGTTTACAGCGGCAAAAATTGAGCGGCGCTTTCCTCTTGAAAACGGGAGTTTTACCACGCCAAATGATATGTTTTATTACCTCCTGAGCAACACGTTTTTGAGCAGCACAAATGATGACTTTTCGAGTCAGTCCCAAATCAAAATCAAGAGCGCGACAAATAGTTGACAGCGAAATGTTCTTGACGTCTGCGTAGTTTTCACGTAAAAAAGCTTGAAGTTCCTCCGAGTAAATCTCGGGTGTTGTTTTACGTATCGTTCGACGCCTGCTAAAACGTATACAGACCATCGTGCTGTCTTGATAGGCGGCTTGTCGTCTTTAACAACACCATTGACAAAAAACAAATTGTACCATCGGAAAATAGTCCTTGGTTTCGGCCCAAATATATCACTGATAAACTGAACATCAAGGCCGTATACATGCATAAGAGAAATCGCACGCCATCGATAGTCTGCTGCGTAAGTCATGTGGCTTGTTTGGATAGGTCGTCGCCAGTAGTGGCTGGTCGGTCAATTCTGCGAGTGGTGTTAATTTAGGTCTGGGAGAGACAGCTTCTCTATAATGCACTGTCGACTCTGCATTTCAGACCTACTGCCACTTATTTGGCAAGTATATCAAACTTTTATTGAGTTTTCGGACACCTTTGTTGTGGTAAAATCGAGATTTGCCTCGTAACCAGAGTTACAAAATCGAGTAATAATGGACTATTTTGCCAATATATCTGCAAAGCACAATAATTGTCCACTATAAATACGATTTTAACGAGAACTTCGCTTACCAGGATACATTTTTGTATGGGATGCTTTTTATGGGAGGTATATGCTCGCGAAATACGGCATAGAATAAAATGCCGAAATACATGTATATAACACCGATATATATTCTTTATAAATATAATTATAAATAAACGAAATGATTAGTTTCGGGGCTTTTATTGGGGCAGATTACTATTCAGTACCTGTACATGTATTAGAGCGGTGTTATCATGTCAAAACCGCACCGTAACAGGATTATACTTGGAAGGACTTTGGCCCATAGTATGGTGCCATAATATGGCACCGTACTACTAGTATTTTCACAATATCATTTTGTACTTCTCGAGGGATGCGCGATCTTATGACGACGTTCCTTTTGGAAACTGACTTAGGCGATGTTGAAGCTGAAGGGTTGAAGTTGGCGATGAGATTCAGCTTGTGCTGTGCAACAAAGACTTTGGTGATGCGCTTTCAGAGCCGGAATAAATGCTTGTTTTTAAACATTTGACCCTATCCCCATAATACGAGATGCTTCTTTTCCGTCAGTTATTTTAAAAAAATATTAATATAGACCGCGAGAAGACAATGATCGAGCTGCTGCCTCTTAGCTTTCAGCTTAGGTACAGTACATGCATAGCATTCCTTTTAAAGGATTGTGGTAAATGTACATGATGAACTAACGTCATATGTACGCGAAGTACACGGTGTACCACAATCTGTCCGTAGGAGTCCTCCTAGCCTAGTACTGGCTTAGTACTACTATATTAATAATAGGACGTAGGGGGATGAGCTTTGCGGCTGGTTTGCGATTCGCAAATTGCAATGCGGGAATGCTCTCTCCAAAGATTGAAGTGCAACCACCAATCGCACCCAACTGACAGTAGTACTGTCGGCTTACGTACTTTAAAATGGTTGCGCTAGATCTCATTCACCAATCCATGAATACCTTGGTCAGCGAATGCAAACCAGTGTACAGTACAGACCGGTTCCACTTCATATCCTAGTACGTTCGCTGCCATTATTGCTACTGTTAGTTTCCGAAGGACAGGAAATACACTCACGTATAATGCGCACTTACACTTACTGGGTATTACATACCGGCAACGTGGAGCCGAACATCTCAAATTGGCCCCAAATAGTTAGCATCGGCAAGCACAAATCATAAACACATAATCCTTTCTCTGGAGAGTAAATTACCGGTAATCGGAGGTACTCAGTCGGTAAAAAGGGAACGCATCATATCAAAATCAGGCCTGGATTGCTTTCTTTGGCCGGAATGTTATTACCGAGAGTGTGCTGATGCTGTGAGGTGAACCGTCGAAAAATTCTAAGAACTACCGTGCTCCTCATTGTACAGTGTCAAATGCATGGCGAGTTAAAGCACAAAAATCGCTTCATCAAGTCAGCAGTATCATGTACCCCAGAAATATTCCTAATAATCTTAATTGTGTTATTTCCGTGATCTATTGCGCAAAGTGGTTTAAACTGCCTTACCTAGTGGACATGTTTGAAAGCACCTTGCGTCTCAGAAGGGCGGAAGATGTCAGCTCGGTACCTAAAACGGGGCGATATTCTGGGGCTATCGCATTGCATATACCAGTACTATTTGAATTTCCCTTCTACTACAACAACAATGCTTATAAAGTGTTATTCCTTGTACTACCGGTACTGGTACCGAAGACAAGAGCAAATTTTGGACTTAATTTCCACTACATTTTATCACAAAAACTTATCAAGAAAAAATTCTTCTTTATAGATTAATTAAAATATGCTAAAGCACACACATGCAATGCTAGATAAACGACCCGTGTTTTCAAATTATGTACACACACCAGCTCGTAAATCGTATTTTTAATAACTCAGCATGTATTAATACATGTATTACAAAAAGTCGCCGTGTTAAAACAAACGCATTTTTCCCGCTGTCGAATTTCGACAGCGGGAAAAATGCGAATGTTGCTGTTTGATACAGAATCCGTGTTAGTGCCGGTGCAGCAGAGCACCAGAAGGTGCGGTACTGGTGATGTTGGCGCGCTCATTGGCCATCACCATATGACGTCGGCTGATTCCCATGTGTTTGCAAAATCGTTTGGGAGAGCCTACTTGATGATCAACTTGATCTGCTCGTTGAGGTGGGCCAAACTCATTGAAGCTCAGTTCTTTATTTTCCACCCCCACCCCAAGTGACCCACTCAACCAACTCCACAATGGTTCGTTCGGCTGTCTTCACGGTTGAAGACGCTAAAGCGGCATTCAACCTCTTCTGCTGCGTCTACGGCATTGGAACGCTTGGTATGCCCGGTAACTTTTCCCGTGCCGGGCCAGTGATCGCGGTCATCGCCATGGCTTTCATGGCCTTCGCCAACACATATTCCTCAGTTGCTATCTGCCGCGTCATGCTCATCGCCCCGCGTTCAGTCAAGACCTACGGTGACCTCGGTGAATGGTGTATGGGCAAAACTGGCCGCTACGTGTCGGTTGTCTCTCAAATGGGCAACTGTCTCTTGGTCCCGTGTGTGTTCCTGGTGCTTGGTGGTAGTCTACTCGACGGTCTTTTCCCAGCGGCCTTCAGCGCAACGACGTGGATCATCCTCATGGCTCTCGCATGCCTACCTGTATGCCTGGTGCCTACTCTGAAGGAAGGAGCTGGTGCTGCTTTCGCCGGGTGTATTGGCACGCTCATCGCTGATGTTATCGGCGTCGCTGTCGTAATGTACGGCATGCGCGGTCACCCTAGCGTGCCTTCACCTGATATCAACTTCAAGCAAGTCGCTGGAGCGTTCGGCAACTTAGCTCTCGCTTATGGTGCTGGTATTGTGATTCCGGCTCTCCAGCGCCAGCACAGTGACCCCACACGCATGCCCCGAGTTGTCGGCGTGACAATTGCATTCATTTCTTGTTGTTTCTTGGTTCTCGCCAGTACAGCATACTCATCTGTTGGCTGCCAGATCTCTGGTAACCTGCTGTGGTCGATTTACCCCGATTCGGAATCTGGCTTGACAACGCTGGGCTTCGCATCGGACTGGGGTATGGTCGTTCTTGCCTACCTCTTTATGCAACTGCACATTACGATTGCCTTCTCCGTTATCCTGAACCCGGCATTCTACATCGCCGAGCGCATCTTGCTCGGAATGCACAAGTCTACGGTCGCTGACGTGGAGAACAATCTACTTACTTACGCCGACGCTGCTACTCCTCGTGATGGTGCAGAGCGCTCGGAGAAGGAGTCCCGTGCTTCCAAGCGCTCGTTTATTTCTGTTGCCGATAACGAGAACGTGCACCTTGGTGAGCCGGATGCCGAGGCCGCTGAGTACCGTGGGGCCAACACCATCAAATACGTTATCCTTCGTATTGTGATGATCATCGTTTTGGCAATCGCATCAGTGCTTCTGCAGGACCATTTCTCGGACTTAGCGGACTTCGTCGGAGCGTCGTGCATTACGATGAATTCAATCCTTCTGCCAATTGTGTTCCTATTGAAGAAAAAATGGGGCTCGCTTCCTATGTGGGAGAAGGCCCCGGCGCTCACCGTGGTGGTGGTGTGCTTCTGCCTGGGCTGCTACGTGACGTACACATCGGGCAAGAACCTGTTTGCTCCAAGCGACGATGACACGGCGTTTCCGTTCTGCGCGCCGGAGTTTGAGAATACTGTGTATTACAACTATACGGCCGCTCATGAAAACTACTACTAATTGTTGACATAGCTCCTATGCTCCAACAAAACACTACGTAGTACTAAAATTAGTACCTGATACTCGTAGTACGAGCTGGTACTACGCAGCTTGCAGAAACTAAGATTGTATCACACAAAAAAGAACAGGAGTCGATCTCATTATCTATTCTTGTTGGGGCAAAGCCCCCCTATAATGAAACGAATTAGTAAGACAACTACTCTTTTTACAGGAGTACATGTATTTACGAAGTATTAGAAAAGGGTTAGGGTAGACATTTATAACTAAACCGCCTAGGGACCATTTTTGGCGAAAAATACTTGTGTATAAGAACCCTTGAAAGGGAGTGACGGGGAAGAAAAATAGAAAAGCGCGGTAGTGACCTCTTTTGTAGTATTAACAGTCACTAAAAGGAGGAGTCATTTTTATGCTCTGTATGAAGAGTCGCTTTGTATCAGGCGCCAAAGGATTGCGCTGTTCAAGGAAGTTTTAGGAACGTTTTACGCTCACGGCCTTACGGCGCGTACCCATGCGAACCGTTACGCTGGTAACGATTAACGTCGAGGGACAGTCCTATTTAGTCATAAAGGGCATCAAAACTGATATATTGGAAGGGATACAGAGCCGTAAGAACTCTGTAAAAAGTCATGGCTACACGTTCAGAATGCACTGTTTTTCTGTACTGAAATAGGATAGAGGCGTGGGAGCGTGGTTCTAAGCAGCGATTCGTGTTCTCTCTGCGCTATCGAAGCCGCTAAGGTTGCTCTGGAGGTCGCCCGCGAGTCTCAAAACGATCGCCTTCGCACGGACATGGGTCGAGAAGCGAGGATGGGGGAATGGAGGCGGTGCTGAGCGGCCAGAGATCATTAGCGCGTGGACTTGACCCCCGTATTTTCCAGCTGCTGTTGGAAGATGAAGTCGATCTGCACGCTACACGTACAAGCAATGGCGATTCTGCTCTCCATGTTGCGCTTCGGCGACGCAATCAAACTGCAGCGGTTCTTTTCGTTCGTGCTGGCCTAAGTTTAACAGCAGTCAATCTGCTCGGTCAACGTGCGATCGACTGCGCACGTTCGCCAGCACTACGCTTCGCTGCGAAGAAGGAGGCAGGTCAGCGCGACTTTATGATCAGCTACAGTCATGCTCACGCACCGTTAGCACGGAAGATTCGAGACTCGTTAGAGCGCCACCGAGTGACAACTTGGATCGACACTATGGGACCTACTGGGATCACTGATGGCTCCGTCTGGCGTCAAGAGATTGCTCGCGGGATCCATAGCAGTGCTCTTGTATTAGCTGTACTCACGAAAGACTACCCACAGTCACAATGGTGCATGAAAGAACTCGCTTTTGCCAAAATGCAGACATTTCTGTCGTGGCTATACAATGCGAGGATATGGAGATATCTGAAGAGCTACAAGTTTACCTGTGGACCCGCCAAGTGATTGACTTTCGATCGGCAGTTAAGCACAATAACGGTGTAAGTTCTACAGGAGATGATGCTGATCTGCAGCGGATGGCGAGGAATAGCTCATATACAGTTGACACTGACTCACATGAGGGGGAAGTGTACAGTGAAGATGATACTACGAACGTGGTGGTCAATATGGTGGGCAAGTGCGTCTTAAGCAACCTCGAGTTAGCTCCGAACTACAATGACGAGGCCTTTTGCCACTGCTTAAGGATGCTACTGGACGGTATTCAAGATCAAATCGAGGAGCATCGTGCACGACTAGCTCGGCGCCAGTTGCAGCAGCAGCAACAAGCACAACTTCCTGGTCATGAGACTGATGCTACTGTTAGCGGAGACGCGTCACGCCATGGAAGCCGTCGCAACGAGAGTGAGTGTTATCCGGAGGAAGAAGACAGAGCATTGTGTGGAATGTCTACGGAGCATGATAAGCAAAGCGAGTGTGAAGAAATCGACACGTCGAATGCAGCGATCAGCTTCCCAGAGGGCCACTGAACGTGCCACTTATTCGGCCATTACGACGGATTGACTCATTGGCTTCGTCTCTCGCGTTCACATCTGGTACAGACTCTTTCGTCTTTATTGCGCATGGTGATATCCACCGCTCATTGTGTCTACGCCTCCAGAAATCGTTGCTCAAGCAGGGAATACGCTGTGTTGTGGATCAAACAATTCCTGCGGTACAATATGCGCATCGGCCGCAAGATACTGTGAACAGCGATGTTCAAAAAAGCGGCGGCTTCGGCGCAGATTTGAGCTGCATTGAGCAACCAGTGGCTCCTTTACCTGTTCAAACGCGGCAATTGGCTGCAAAAGATGCCATTCTCGCCTGCTCTGTCGTCTTAGTGGTGTTGTCTCCGCTGTCTGCAAATTGCGACCTTCTTGCTGATCAATTGGCTTTCGCAGAGGACCGTGGGAAGTTGCTGGTGCCTATTCTCCTATCGCTACACAAAGTGGATCTGGCCAAGCGCTACGCCTTTTCACGCAGTATGGTGCACCACTTTAATATCTCTCTGGGCTTCGAGCAGAGCCTGGAACAACTTACCAACTATTTAAGAGTACTCCCTCAATTACCCACCGTTTGCTGGGCTCTCTAGTCGATATGAATAAAATATGACATGCAAAAGTAATACTGCTGTGAACAGTTTCCTTACTGGGGTTGAAGTTGGCTTATTTAACTTTCGGATTTGCGTCTGTCACTTTTGATTTTGCTGTATCAAGTCACAATGGATTTCTTGGATTCCATTCGCGGGGCCGTTTTGAAACAAATGGAAGAGGAAGCTGTCAACATGTTTTCAAGCGTAAGAGACTTTCGTGAATTCATCACAATGACACACCCTGCAGTTGATATCTGCGTGACACTGAGAATGTGTTGCCTTCACGTGGAGCGTCTTGAAGGTACTAACGCTACTCGTGTAGTCTTGGTCGACGGAAGGAGATGTGTGGAAGTCAACACAGCCTTGAAGGCAGTTGATGATTGTATAGGCTATCAAGACAAACGCGATGTGGTGCAGGTGACTGTTTGGGATTCAAAGATGTCGAACGCTTTCGCTGGCGATTCAAACATTGTGTTTCACGTTGGAGCTATGTACGTTCTTAATCAAGTCGAGTATGTCGGATTGTACGATAGCATCGCGAAGGGCAGTATTCAGTACGAGTATGGCAACTTGGATAAGATCAGAGAGATTGCGCCTCCCCTCAAAAAGCGCACGTCTTGGTGAGGGTCATACAGCAGCTACAAGAATCAACTTGACCGACAGCAACAGCGTGATGGCGTTAATGATGAAGACTCGGGGAAACGATCAGACCATGTTGCTGATGCATCAGCAATTACTATATGGTATTCTTCTTTTCAGTTAAAGGATAATATAACAGAGTTGTTGCAACGAAATACTATGAATTTAATTAATACTAATTAAAGCTACTGTAGACATGAGTGTGGGAGGAAGTAAGCACAGTTGTAGCATGAAATTGTAGATATGGAATTTATGAAGTAGATCAAAATTAAAAAAAAAATATAACTATATAATCGTGCAGGATTTGGAGGCTAATGACTTCTTCGGATACGTTCGTTGGTAAATCAGCTAATGGATATGTTGAAGTTGCAGTAGCGGAATCAATGGCTAAATGAAGTCGTATCGCATCTCTTGGATACGTTGATGGTTCAATAACTAGAATGCGCGCAGGGTTTGAAGGCTAATGAGTAGGAATTAAACTCAATTTTACTATAAAAATGTAGGAAGGCATCGTACTAACAAACTAGATAGATTAGGGGCGTCAAAATAAATGTAAACGGTGTAAAATTGGCAAATAGTCACAATGTACCAGGTTTGGAGCTGGAAACCATTACGTGGATCAAGTGAAGGTGACTGTATATCTAGAAACGTTGGTGAGGATGCGTTCGGTGTGGCACGACGGTGCTGTCGGTTGAAGTTTGGCTGGTAGATCTAGAAGGAGTCGCAAAATGTAATATGGTCTCATAATTAATGCCTCAACTTCAAATTCATTAATAATGCAGTGATCTCGTATGTATGGTATCTGTGCTAGGCAATGACGATGGACATCGAGTACTGGGCAGTGTCATGCAAGTGGGCTACACAAATAAAGTCTAAAATAATGGAAGAAGCGGTTGTGATAGTGATGGCGTTTTGAATAGCATTTCTTCGGATACGTTCGCTAATGAATCAGCTAATAGATTTGTTGAAGATGCAATGGCTAAACGAAGTTGTATCACATCTCTTGGATACGTTGACGTTTCGCTTCGAACGATCGAGCCAAAATTCCTAAAATATTTGGTGCGGGAATGCTTTAAAAATTACGAGAATTTGTCAGAATTTGTGAAGTTGCTCGTAGACTTCAAGCCAGAGTGGTTTACAGAACTTAAGTAATTGGCGAGGAGGAAATGTGTGTAATATCACAATGAAAGAGTTTGTTTGCAAATTAATTATAGTCACCCTTTTGGTTTGCTCGAATATAGCATTATTTTACCTTATCCGCCGCGTACAATGGCAGGAGGACGTGGGTATCTTGAATGGGACGAATGATTCGTGCCGGCAGTGCTCACTTTTAGTTTTGCTAGCGACGAAGCAACGCCATCGCACAATTTCACCACATACAACTATGAATCTGCTAGAAGCTATCAAGAACGACGTCCTAAAGCAGAAGGAAGAAGAAACGTTGAACCAATTCTCAACTGTGGCGGAGTTTAGATAATTCATTTTGGCGTCGCACCCAACTGCTGATGTAAGCGTTACGCTCAGCATGTGCTGCCTTCAATCGGAACGACTTCGCGGTGACCATGGAACTCGTGTTACGCTGGTCGACGCCGCGCAACGGGAAGTGTTCGAGCCGACAGCAAATGCCCTAGCCGACTTGACACCTCTGAAGCGCAAACCGTATCTGGTTCAAGTGACGGTGTGGGATGCCAAACCGACGAAGTGTGTCAATGGCAAGCGCAATATTAAGTTTGAACCTGGTGCCGTGTACAAATTTTCCCATGCCGATGGCGTTGGTTTCTATGCTGATATTGCAAAGGGGAGCGTTCAGTACG